CCAGAAAAGATTTCTGGTATTTACCAAAAAGAATGCATGTAGTTAGGCCTATGTAGGGTTTAATAAATCATGTAAGCATAGGCAAAGAAAGAATACAAGGAAAGTCCTCTGTGAGCACTGGGGAGAATGTGATTAGGTGCTTTAAAAATTATCAATTATGAAAAAGAAGACTGATTTTGACCAACCGCATCAGTCTGAGCTGCTCTAAAACCAACCTGAAAAAAATCCCAGAAGTTCAACTAAGTGCATGGCAATGCCTCAACAATTAAAGCAAGAGCATAGTGAGGAGACCTTTCTTTAGGGTGCATTTAATCCAGGACTATAGTTTTAGCCTTTCTTTCTTAGATAGTGTCGAGAAAGCATTCAATCTTGAGGGTACTCGTGTGAATCTGAATTTTCAACTCATTGCGGACACTTGTTTTAGATGGATTATTTAAGCATACCTACATGAAAATATTAGTTTAAGTCCTGCTGAATACTCGTGTCCCATGAGAGAAACTTAATGGGTGCTGCAAAACAAGAAAATAAAACATAGACATGACAGCTGACTCCATGATCAAATACATTGGAAAATATGCTCACGTGTTCCTGGTCACTTCAGGATCATGTGAAATATTTAATATCCTGAATATCACTATTTAATATAACTACAGAATATTTAATATCCTATATAAACAATGAATTCCTAAAGGTAGTGAGGTCTGATTTGCGGTTTTCTTCAAATTTATTTAATCACTGAACTGCCCCTTGCCATAAGCCCTTGTTTTTTTGCTAAACATCTATCAATATATGTAAAGACTCTTCCACTCCACAAAATATGTGTTAGAAAACGCTAAAATCAAAGATGGCAAATGGATGACAAAAGGTCAGGCATCTGTGTGTATTTTTATGTCATTTTGAGTTTTTGGTAGAAGAAATGTATCCTCTTCTGAGATAATGAAGAGGCTGAACGGATGACATGTTTTCCCAGCACAGATGGCCGATTTGAGGTGCTCTGGCAAGCAACTTGGCGTTCCCTANTTCTTGGTAAAGATTGCTTTGGCTGTTTGGTGTCCCTTGTGGTTTCATACGAATTTTAGGATTGTTCTTTCTATTTCTGTGAAAAATGATATTGGAATTTTGATAGAGATTGCACTGACTCTGCAGATAATTCTGGGTACTATTGGACAATTAATTCTTCCAATCCATATATA